AAGTAAATCGAATGAACAGTTGTGTTTAAGACAAAAGTGTTTAGTTTTTCTCATCATTTTCATTTTTATCTTATACATTAAATCACATTATCTTCTATGTTCCATTCACTATCACTCTTCTTAATGCTTTTGAAAAGAGAGAGAGGAGTGAAGATAGAGTGCTTAGATATAGCATCCTATCATACTGTTATTGAGAGAAAGAGGATGTTAAACATTTGCAAGAGACCAGTCGACATTCCGCCTTGAGATCCGACCCTTTCTTTCTGCTGATGTGCCTGTAGCTGCTTTTGGCTACGCTTTAATGCATCCAAATAAGGAACAACTTTATGTTTCACAAGGCGATAGGAATATAATAAAATATCGAGAAAACCAAACCGATTAGTCCTGTCATCTTACATCCCCTTCCATCTCATAGAACATAACATTCAAATCGTCGTTTCGTTTGTACAAAATTACTTTCATTCCGATTTTTTCCAACAATTTCATTTTATTATATCTTTAATATGTCTTTTTACCAATGATGCTTGAAACTTCTGCTGCTCAAAGCACTTGAGAAGCATTGTCGCGCAACTGGGTAAAGCGGCCAAGCATCAGAGTATAGAGACGAATGAAGTTGTTCATTATTCTCCTCTCCTATACTTCATCTCTCTCTCTTCCTCTCTCTAACTATCTTTCTCTCTCTTTCTCTCTCTCTCATTCTCCTTTGTCTTCTTTATCCATCAATATTCCTTTTTTTTTGTTTTTATCTTATAACATAGTACTCTTATAATTAGTGGAATGATTGAGAAGCCATTTTCGTCTTCACATGTACACACAGTTTTCGTCAACCAACTCCAAACACTTAATGCGTTGGTGGAGCTTTACAAGTAACACAAAGCTTTTATGTTGTTTCAAGCCTTTGATTATCGAAAATGGTAGTTATTTGAATGTTTTTTGCATCTCTTGCCTTCTACTTCGAACATCTGATTAAACACAATTTCACATTACGTTCACCACTGTCACGAAACTTCATTATCTTCCACAATAGTCTCAGTGGAGACTCGAAAGTGGTCAGAAGTCTTTTTTTTTGAAGAAACTCTTGTTTATCAGTTTCCGCTAATTTCTCCTCTCTCTCCTTCTCTGTCTCCCTTTCTTCTCTTTTTTTTTCAATTATGAAAATTATGGTTTTGTGCAAGTTTTGTTTGAGTCATCTTCCATCTCTTCCTCTTTTGCACATATTATTTTATGATTCTCACATAAGACTGAATGGCATGATCATCTTCGGGCTTTCTGCCTCTGTCTTCGCATATCAAGCTCTTCATCCTCTCCATCCCACTATCACAGCCTTTCTTTGACGAAAAAAAAGGATTTTTTGACGACTTTCATCCTTCCACCACCAAATTATTGCTTTTCTTTCCTGAACAATTTGGTTCATTTCGCTCAGCTTTTCTTCATCCACCTTTGTTTCTGTTCCTTTTCCGCTTCATTCACTTCAATTCAGAATTTTCCCTCAATCCTCCGATTGCTTTTCTCTCCATAGATGGATGAAAGACAGAAAAATCTCAAAATTTTGAATGATAATGTCATCCGATGCCCCGCTAACTTACCACAGGACTTCCCTTCCTCATGGTATCCCATGTCCCTTACTACCTCAGCTTTTCTCTTTTCTCTCTGCTCCTGCCTTTCCCAGTTTGTATGTGTTGCTCTCTCTCTCGCTAAAGAACAAATCCATCATACACACTGTCTATTTCATTCGATATGTTCTCAACTTTTCACCAAAATTTTATATGAAATGAACAAATAGTCCCGTGTTATTTTCAAATTCATCCGTTCAATACGATTTATGGATTTCATACAATTCTCCTTATGCGTTGCCTTCTAATAGTCTTGAGCGTCTTCAATGGCAAGTTCAGCCTTACTAGTCTCGTTCTGTAAATTCGTGTGTTGTGAAGCCTTTGTCGAAATGTTTTTTTCCGTTTCCTCCTCTATCTGGCTTCATCCTTTCATTTCGCATAATTATTTGAATAAAAAAATCTTTTCCTTACCTGATTATTTGTGTATTCATCAGATTTTTGATATTTTTGATGCACGTCACTGCCCTCCATTCTCTTTGGTTTGTTTTCCGTCTGAGACCTCAATTTGCCCTCCAATTCATCTGTCTTCAGTCACTGGCACAGCTTCTCTTTGTGTGTGAATAACCTCATTTTGGTTAAAATGCGTGCAATTTTCTTTTTTTGGTCATGAACGTGTCTCTTAAGCGAAGATTCTTTTTCCCTTTTCTCTATGCGAGAAAGTATGTCTCTAGTTCGGAAGTTGAAGTAAGAGAACATCGTTCTCTTGAGCTCCTTCTGATTTTATTAAATCCAAAACTGTTCCTTCTGTATAATTTTTGCGAACACACTCGTTCGCATCTTCTGCCCTGTTGACATTCCGCTGTTTTCTTCTTTTTCTTTTTTTTCTGTTCTAAGAAAATTTTGTAACAAAAATTGCGAAGAGTACACTCCAATATGAAGTTGATGATGAAGCTTAAACGGCTATGTATCTATGTCTCTATTGAAGTTCAACGAAAAGAGTTTGAATTCAGTGGAATGGTGGATACTCCGTGATTCGATACTGTCATTACGACACGCCAGCTCCAACTGTCAGCTTTTCGTTTCCGTTTATTTACCCTCTTGACTCGTCTCATCCCTCCCTATATCCTATTATCTCTTAGCATCGATTATAGAAGATTTCGTTCCAGTTTTATCACACACATACACACACCTCTGACTATTCGGTCAATCTTTAGCTTCTCCTTATGAAAATCTCTATATCGGATTTTGTTTTGTCACTCTCGTTGCCCTCTTCTCTTTCTTCTGTCATTCACTTGATTTTTTTGTTTTTTTTTCCCCGATATCTCAATCGTTCCTATCTTTCTGCTGATTCTTAAGACTATGCTTCAAGGTTTTTTGATTGAGTTTATTGAGCATCTGGACTACCTCAACTTCAATCCAGCCTCCCTTCTTGTCCAATCGAACATTCTCTTCCATAACATTATGATTCTACTTCTCTTACATATATCCTATCGAATGTTATATGTTCTCAAATTATAGTTTTCTACTTTCAGATATAATCCACACACTTAATCAATTTCTTGCCGTGTCTGCAGTGCCTTTAAATACAGATATTCAAATCATATAGGTATGTTCAAATTATTATATCCGAGAAAAAATGAGAAAAGTAATTGAAAATCATAAAAAGTAAGAGAAGCCTCAAAGCTTCAGTTGATTGCCGTGTTTGGCTCTCGCAGCTAAAAGCCTTCGGGAGCTTTAGCGTATGTCGAACGTGTGTTCTTCACGTGTTTGTTAATCTCTTGAAACGTTTTGGGCCACTCGTTCATTTGTAGCCGACTCTTATCTCAAATAAAGACAATTACGAGAAAAATATTTTGAAATTTATCAGATTTACGCGAAAGTTCCATAGAAATCGGAAATGAAAGCGTGACAGCCCCCTTCTATTACAATGAGAAGTCAAATTTTGTACCCAACCGCTCTCTGCGTTATGAATGAGAAGTACTGGCAAACGCGGCCCACGTGATTGGCGTCACGTGGCTTTTGACGTGAACTGCCGTGAACAGTCCATCAGGTGATTACGTGGCATGATGAAAGAACGTCTAGCTACTACGAAGAGAGGCGTTTTCTATTTATAAAAGCATTCATAACGTATTGAAATTTGTTTCTAAAGAAAGTGATTTTTGAATTATAGCCTGAGGCTCAACCTATAATTTAATATTCACAAAAAAATATAGTGACAACAGCTATATTCGAAACGATGAAAGCTGCGAGGGAGAGAATGAGAGAGAGAGCTTGAAATGAATGTTCCGCTTAAAAATGAAAATTTCATTTTAGTTCTCATGTCCTATCTATGTTTGATTTACCAATGAATTTCATGTTTTGACAGAATAATTTAAAAATGAATAGCGGTTGAAGGAAATGACCATCTGCTATGTGGGATTAGTTTGATGATACATTTAAACTAGATGTTCCTAAGATTCTCCCCTCTTAGTACAATGTCTTGAAGACATGTCTCATCTGAAAGCTTCCCATTACAATTCTCGTTTCATTACGAAATTGTATAAGCTTAAACAAGCATAAACGTTTAGAACACAAAAAAATACTTGAAGATTTAGCAAATTCTTTTTATGTATTTAGAGAGATTGAATAGTAAGAAGAGAATCTTAAGCTATTTCTGTTCTTCTTTTTCTTCTTCTCGTTCTCGTCTTATGCTAACCACTCCGCTCTCCCATTGTCATATTGAGCTCATATGAGCCATAGAAACAGCTTGTTCACCTGGTTGCTTAGAAGGTCATATACACAAATGTAAGAGGGTAAGAGAAGTTTGGTGGAAAATTTTCAAAAAGAAAAAGCGTCGAATGGAGAGATGACATGAGTAAAATGAAAAAAAATAGAAAATGACGAAGACAGGAGGAAAACAGAGGATGAAAGAGAGTCCAGAGAGAGAGAAAGAGAGAAAGATATATATTTATATATATGAAGGGAAAAAGCAAGTTTGAGAGCTGCTGTTCAACGAAAAAGGAGGAGGGGAAGGAGACAAAACATTGTCTTTGCTCTCACCCGCTCTGCTCCGTCTCGAGCTCTAGAAGAGATTAAACTGACGGAGGAAAAGAAAGAGATCCTACTCCTTTTATTCTTTTTTTTCTGTTTTACTCTTTTTTTGGAGCAAATCAATTTATTTTTGTTCGTCAATTGACTTGCGTCTTCGTTTCCAAATAACTTATTGTTCTCCTCATTCAGCCCATCATTATTCGTCTTCAGATGAGCTTTTAGCTGATATACACAAATGACGATGTTAATGATGAAAAGGTTTTCGCCGCAGGCATTTTCTTCGCTTAAACTCTAATATTCCTGTTTTCAACTCAAATTTCATATAACAATTCTAATTTTGAGATCCAAAAGATGACAAATAAAGAAAAATAAAGAATGTAATCAGTTGTTGAGACAAACCATTTCCTTTTCAGTAAAATGCTTCCCTCATCAGTATATGGTCAATTGGGTGATCCTTTAGTTCAAGCTTTAGTTCAATCCGCTGCTGGAGCAGATCCTGGAATAGGTAAGAATACTGTCCCCATGAACTGTTTACCTACTAGTGGCTATGTTCACATTTGACATCAAACGATGAATAATGTTCTAATCGTTTGTTTTTCGCTCTAATTGATGGTTTTTCTTTCTTGTATTAATCACTCTCTCTCTCTCTCTCTCTCTCTCTCTATCTATCTATCTCTGACACTCACCTGTAGCAGCCAAGCATGAAGCTTCAACATGATGACTTTTCTTATTTCTTTAGGTTCACGTGACACAATGTTCACAAAAATCTTTGTGGGTGGTTTGCCGTATCATACTAGTGATAAAACTCTGCATGAGTACTTTGAACAGTTCGGAGATATCGAAGAAGCAGTGGTCATCACCGATCGACAAACCCAAAAGAGTCGTGGATATGGATTTGTGAGTGCTTAATTTCCTAAATAAGAAAACTGTTTTCCCATCTTTCCCAGCTATTTCTTATTTCTTCAACTATTTTTTTTGGTTTGCATTTTATACTTATGGAGTTTCATAATACGAGAGATCTTTTATTTAAACTCTTAACCAATCAAAGTCTAACAATTCCTAATTTCTTTTTTCCAATCCATTTCCCCCCTACCCCATCCCACTATCTCTCTCTCTCTCTCTCTTTCTCTCTATCAACGAAGACAGAGATTTTGGGGTGGATGACAGAAAAACAACTTGAAATATAAGCATTTTGAGAAATATTCCTTCAAGAACGAAGTTTTTTATGCAAATTTAGAAAGTTAGATGAGTTTTCGTCTGGAACATTGCATGATGTCTTGAGAGACACTCAGTTTCCTACTTATAGATATATCACTTAGCTAAATGTCAACAGTTATATGTTTAGGTTACTATGAAAGATAGAGTAGCAGCTGAACGTGCTTGCAAAGACCCTAACCCAATCATAGATGGACGTAAAGCTAATGTTAATTTGGCTTATTTGGGAGCCAAGCCAAGGAATAACGTTCAATTAGCAGGTAAAAATACAAAACTGAATATTGAAATCTTTTGTCGTCAAAAACAATTATCAAATACAACCGCTCTTGACGCTGCTCTAAATTGAAAATAAGAATGAGTGTTAATATGATCTTACGTGATATTCACGTGAAGCTCATTAGAATATTCAAATTCTGTTATTCATTTAAAGGATTATGCTATTTCAGCACTTGGTGCAGCCGCTGGAGCTGTTCAGCTTCCTCTTCAAACTCAACTTCAAGCTCTATTCCCTGCTGCTCGCGTTGGGTAAGTTCTTTGCACATATTTGGGAAAGTCTTCAATATGAAAAGGAAACTTTTGAAATGATATCAAATTCAGTTTACAAAAATTATTCGAAATAGTTTCGAGAGGAAATCTCGTTTTAGACAATTGTTGGAAGGATATAGTTGAGCAGAATCTCCTCATTCTTCTTCTAAATAGATCCTCCCAATTCCTCTCTCTATCTCTCTTGAAAGGAAAAGGTGACAATCAAAGCTCTGCGTGTGTTTGCTCTTTGTTTTGCCCGCAGGCTATTCTGGAATCTCCAGAATTAGATTTTGCCGTTTATTTTAATTTATAATTTTCATAAAATGCATAATGAAAAGCTGTGCTCTGCAGTGAAAGAGAGTGCTCTTGCCGTGTATTTTAATCATACAAACTTGACCTTTTCAATCCCTTCCAAGTTTCACGAGTGAAGCGCTCTCAAAACAATCATTAAAAGAATTTTATTTTGGAAACGAAAGCATAAGGAACGAAACCGGTTAACCACCTACTTCCATCTGAGCAACGTTTTGTCAATAAAATTCTTTCAAACATAATCAAACTTATTAGTTTTGAAGTTTTTGTTTTAATTGTTCTTTCTTTAAATGCACACGACTGATCTAATTCCTTTCTCACTGACTAACACTCAAGAGCTGTTCTGCTATCTAAAGCATGATGTTTCTGCGAGACTCTCCTTTCTTCTACAGTCTATCTCTATTCCCATTAATTGAGATTTTTTATTTTGTTTGAATGCAAATCTTAATAGCAACACGAGGATTTTGCTCCTGACTTAGTTCACAAAATTACCTGTGCTATGTAGATTTACAAAACTGAATTCTGCACATTCTCATCCGAGTTTCCTACTGTTGTTCGTTTTCTTCTCAAGTTTGCATGAATGACAATGTGCTTAGAATTTGGATGATAAGTTATGATAATCAGTTGCACGATCTGGAAACACACTCATGCCATCTCGGTTATGCTGTTGTGCCCAGAAAGATTGGTCTATCTTCTAAAAGCTTGAAATGTGATGTTATAGACAACTGAAAGCCTAATTAGATTTTTACCTTTTACTCCGCTATACCTTAACACTCATTTCCTCTCATTTCAGCCTTCCTCAGCTTTATTACCCGGGAGCTGGAGGACTCGTCAATCCTTTACTCGGAACGCCCGCTGCTGCTGCAGCAGCTCAGCAACAGCTTTTGGATTACAATGTCTTGGCTCAAGCAGTCGCCAGTCATGTTCCATTCGGATCGTACAACATGCATGTCTAATGAGCCTCATCCCACAGAAGAATTATCACATATGATAGCTTGTATGTCAAAGCCAATACAAAGCTGTTAGTTAAAAAAATCTATAAGAATTTGCCACATGTCTCTATCTCTGTAGTTGAGTCTAGTCAGAACTCTCACATAGCTGAGCTCTATGAGAGAACTGTAACTCTGCTCATGTACTTCTTATTCGCTCTCTTCTATTATAGTTATGTTTTGCTCTGCTTTATCGTTTTATTTTTATTTATTTACATCTCCTCCAAGGATTCAATTGTATTTCCTCAATTTACTGTTTTCTTTATCATTAACTATGAAGAATTGAATGTTGTCTGACAGGATAAGAATTACATCTCGGTAGATACAATTTGATGTAAATATGAATTTGTTTAATAAAAATTTGATATTAAAACCCTCGAACTCCAATCGCATTAGAAATGACGCGCCAATTTGGCCTTTATCCAACTAAAGGTCCGACTCAACCGTGAGGAGTTGGAGAGTCGATCTCGGCAAATGAACGAAACTGATCGAAACAAAAATTTTTTTTCTAGATTTTTGCCAAATTTGGAGATCTTACTAATTCTGACCTGAAACTTCCAAATATCAAATTAGAAATTGATTCTGATGGCTCGTTTTCAAGATACAGAAGGTTGAAGATTGAGTGACGTCACTACTGGCCTTTATCCAACTAACAGTCCGACTCAGCCGTAACGAGCTCGATAGCCGATCTCGGCAAAAGTTGAAAACTGATCAAAAAAAATTTTTTTTTCTAAATTTTTGCCAAATTTAGAGGTCTTAATAATTCTCACCTGAAACTTCCGAATATCAAATTAGAAATTGATTCTGATGGCTCGTTTTCAAGATACAGAAGGTTGAAGATTGAGTGACGTCACTGCTGGCCTTTATCCAACTTACAGTCCGACTCAGACGTAACGAGCTGGATTGCTGATCTCGGCAAAAGTTGAAAACTGATCAAAAAAAAATTTTTTTTCTAGATTTTTGCCAAATTTGGAGGTCTTACTAATTCTCACCTGAAACTTCCGAATATCAAATTATAAATTGATTCTGATGGCTCGTTTTCAAGATACAAAAGGTTGAAGATTGAGTGACGTCACTGCTGGCCTTTATCCAACTTACAGTCCGACTCAGCCGTAACGAGCTCGATTGCTGATCTCGGCAAAAGTTGAAAACTGATCAAAAAAAAAATTTTTTTCTAGATTTTTGCCAAATTTGGAGATCTTACTGATTCTCGCCTGAAACTTCCGAATATCAAATCAGAAATTGATTCTGATGGCTCCTTTTCAAGATACAGAAGGTTGAAGATTGAGTGACGTCACTGCTGGCCTTTATCCAACTTACAGTCCGACTCAGCCGTAACGAGCTCGATTGCTGTGTCAGGAAAAGGGTATGGGAATAGTCACAGGAGAAGATACAGTAAGGACCATACTGCACTGGCGGTATCAAAAGGTCACGGGAGTACAAGCAGCCGATCCAGAGTTATTACGAAATCAAAGTTTTTTTTTTGATCAGTTGCATTAGTTATTCTTCGTTATTAAATTTGTGTTTCTTCTAAAGTATTCTTTTGTGTGAACTTGAACCTAGCGTTCAACCGTATATGGGGGCCGAACCGACCTTTTGAATACTTCGTAGATATTACATATTCAGTTAGTAGTCCCGCAGATTCTCGAGGAGATGGCAGGTACTATGGATGAAACTTTGGA